GTTTAATCGATACTTCCACTTTTACCAGAGTATTTTTTAGCACAAGTATCTGTACTTTTACTCAAGTACGGAAAGTGAGTACTTTTGCCATCTCTGCAGGACAGTAATCTGTACATAGTTTAGAGGTGGGATGTACAAGTCAGTATTCCATTTTTTGGGAACACAGAGACAAATATTTGAGTCTAAAAAAGCTATTACACTGACCGTCTTCAACCTTCTTAAGGCTGAGGGCTTCTTCATGGGTACTGAGTCATAGGAAGGGCTACCAATACTGACCTATAAACTTTAATACTCTATGTGATTTAATATGATGAAATGCTCTATAAATGACTGAAAAAGAAGAGCAACAGAATAAAATAAAATTAAAACTTATCCCACTGGTGAGTTGTTTTCAGAAGATGCTGATTGCATCGTATGGTGGCCCCTGGTTTAGGGTGACCAATAAGTTAACATACATGATTTTGAATACAGGAAGCTAGGATACTCAAAAGGAACCCAGAAAGATCTCAAACAAGAATTTATAGAATCTACACAAAATGTCTCTCTCACCCTGGTTCCTCTTACCATAGATTGACTCAGAATTTTATGCAGTGTGTCAGAGTGGTATAAAACAACTCATTGTTTTATTCATTTTTTTTCTATCACCGATTTTATTGTTTAACTATTTGGAGGAAATCTAAACAACTGTGAGCATGTTTTACAATGCAAAGAATAAGATAGAAAAAGAAAAAAATGCCTGGATTTCAAATACATTTTGTGTAAATAAAACGAACAACAGAGAAACAACAGTACATTTTTGTTCTTTATTGCAGTTTTTAATTTGTTTTTTAGTCAGAAAATTAGCTTACAAACCATGCACAGATCAGAAAGCCAGTCTTGTGTGTAAAAAATAACCTGACTGTGTGGGTGTGTGTGAGTGGGTGAGGATGTAGTGTCCTATTAAAAGAAAAAGTGTAACACAGTTGTAGCTACATATTACATTTTGGGATTTTTTTTTATGTTTGGCTATAGTCAAATAAAAAATAAAAATGTTACCTATTCATATTATACATACTCTTTATTGCCTTTTTAAAATGTATTCTCCATTTTAGGGTTGAAAGGTATTTCTTTCAAGTTTCCTTGATTAGTTTTAATTGAAGTTTCTCACAGACACATGCTATCATCTTTAAACCGTTAAAAAGGCCCTTTTTCAGTTGAAACAGGGCCACATTTTATCAGTGGACATTCATGGAAAAAACCCAACTGTTGTCTGATACAAAGGTAACTTTGGTCTAAGAGAAGGTCAGAGGGCATTCTCTGAAGTAACCAGCCACCTGTAATTAGCACATATTAAAGGTTAATACCCATCTCTTCTGTGAGTCTGCATGTTAAGAACTGTTGTTGTCATGTTGAACCGGAATGAATCGGCTTTTGTAAACCTTTCTGAATCTAAATGTTATGTCTTGGGCACAGAAATGAAACTGTCTTTAACACACAGATGGAGTCTTTGACGCTATCTGACCAATCTGATCCCAATCTGTAATTAGCTTTGGTACAGCCTTGATGTGGGAGAGCATAAAAAGCCAGAGTGCATGCAGTGTCATTGACAAACACAAGACAGGTGGGAAAACCAGGGGAAAATGAAGTGGTAAGATTTTAAACATTTTCTTTTTTTAACTGGTTTTTATTTAATTTACAGCTGTATATAAAAGAAATTCAAATAACATTTTTTTTACCTTCAGTTTCATGTTTTGTCTGATACTGCTACCATTTGCAGTCATAGGAGTACAAGGCCAAATGAGAGGTAAAAGACACAAAACCTCCATTTATGTATTTTTCTTGCATGAATCTGCAGTGAAAACTAATGAAAACCAGAAAATAGGGATAATGTGTTTTCCTTCTTTCCTTTAAGCTCCAAGACGACACGTGTTGATCTTTCTCAATGGTGAGATTTTTAGCCAATTTTTTTCCTCCCTGTTTTGCTGTTTGAAGAATAACACATATTTTATGTGTGTTTTTTTTATTTTCTTATAGAGGCACTTGGGGCAACAACTGAAAGAGCAACACCTGCCAAAGTCACAGGTTGGTACATCGTAGACATTTTTTCCAGTCTTCATTGCTCATCTCTCTACATCCTTAAAATAACTTTTTGTTCCCTATTAGAACTTTAAAACAGGATAAAAACAGGGAAGAGAAACCTACACAGAATTATTTTGTAGTATTTTTTGGCTTAATATTTAAGAAACACTAAAACAAATGTGTGAGATTATGTTGTTAAATTTTATTTCCTCATGCAGCAAAGAGAAACCCAGTTGATAGACCAGTGAGAGACCAAGATTCAGATGGTATGCTACTGTTTTGAATATTTGTGATGATATTTTTATTAATCAAAATAGAATAGATTTGAATTAAATGTCAACAAAATATTCAATTTATAGATTTGTCTGAGATGCAGTCAGCAGAAAGTTTAGTCACCCCTGGCTATCAAGGTGCAGTATGAATCATACTAACTTTATATTTT